CCTTAAAGGCCTCATGTGATTTGGCCTTTTCCCACCTCTCTATCTGTTTTGTCTACTCAAGAGTTACAGTTTCCACAAAGCTCTTCCTACTCCCAACTCTCCATGGACCTACCTGTAACCCCCCCCCACACCAGCTCCTACCTTGATCTGGCCCAACTCAACTCTCCCCTTTTCCAGACTTGGCTAAAAACTCACTTCATTAGAAAGATGCTTGCAGGACAACCAAGTGGGTTCCTCTTGTGATCAGTATCTTCCTTTCTATCCCGGCAATGAACAAGCTTTGTGAGGCTACTATTAACGTGTCTCAGCATTTACATTCTTTTTTCTTAATCACATGGTAGTACTACAGGGCAGCAATCACATTTACCTTATCCATCACTAGCCTCTCTGCATCTAGAACTTAAGCATCTGACAAAAGAATGTTTAGATGAGTCAATAACGAGTGAATGAATGTGTGAAGGGATGCATGAGTGAAAGTCTCATTGGTAAATGGTATGAGGTAGAGATGCATTAGTTCAACAGCCATAGGAAACCTAAGCTGAACAGAAGTATTAGAAGGAATTTGTAGAAGAGGTGGGAAGAAGAGGGGTCAGAGGTTGTTTTCATGACCAGTTTCCAGTCAATGGATTTCTTTAGCTCTGGGGCAGGCATAGCCCTGGTGTACGCAGAGGGAGGCAAGGACAGTACAAAGGCTACGGCCCCAGTGGGACATCTCACCCCTATTCTTCTATCTTTTCTGGGGGTTTACAAGCTGGGCGTTATACTGGTCCTTCCAATACTGGTTCTGTGGGTAAAACCTCCACCTACGTCTACACATTCTGTCCATGTGTCACATTACATAACTCTTAAGTCTGCATTTGTACCACGATGCACCTACCAGCATCACAGCCCTACATTGTAACTTGCTAATGCCACATCTATATTTTATCTATCAGATCCTAAAATTGGCATATGCTTTCCACCAAGAAAGGCATTCATTTCTAGTGGTTTAAAAAATACAAATAGGGGCTGGAGAGATGGTACAGCAGTGAAGACCATTCGCTGCTCTTACAGAGAACCTAGTTTCGGATCCCAGAACACACACGCCAGCTCCAGTTCTAGGGGATCTAACACCTTCTTCTGGCCTATGAACACACCAAGCATGCACATGGTGCCCATACATACATGTAGGCACACCACTCATACACATAAGAAAGTAAATCTTAAAAGGAAATAAAAATGATCCTGTACTCCATGTCTGCTCAATTATAAGATTTGATGGCAAGAGCTTAGACACTGTCACAGCAGATGTGGCTCTCAATGCCAAGGTCCTTGCCTTGGTGTCCCACTATCTACTTCCTTGAGCATTCACAGACCAAAGGCGCTACTTGAGAGTCCTAAGAAAGTAGCTTCCTTCAGTGGAGACGCAGTTACTTGTTACTACAAAAGATCACCACACCGAGCGGATTTTCCCTACGTGAAATCACGGAGAATAGAACGGCTGTTTTTCCTGTAGTTTGCAGAGCAAGGCAGGTGATACACTTCAGGCGCCAGGTTCACATTTTCACACTCAAAAGTGATGTGTTGAGGGGGTAGGAGAACAGTGGCTGTGTACACACTGCAGGGATACCCATGAGGACAACTTGCTGGGAATGTGTCCCCAGGCAGATCCTAAGCATAAGGAAACAGGGATGTTGAGTCAACTGTGAAGGAGCAGGGAGAGTAGCGGTCAGTCAGAGGCTGAATTCAGCAATACATGATAACTACACGCAGCCCAGACAGTGTAATCTGTATGGGGCCCAGTGAAAAATGAAAACGTGGGAAGCCCTGCTTGGAAAAGTCTTACGAATTTTACCACGCTCACACGTGAGCTTTAAACTTAAGAGTGGACCCAGCCCTTCAAAGCACAAGGCCCTTGGACTGCACAGGCCATAGGCTGATAAAACTACCCTGGCCATGAGGTATGAAGGTGGGGCAAGGTTAATTCTAGGGACCATCGAAACTCTTTAGAAAAGCAAACTTCCCCAGTCCACTTTGCTCTCATAAAATACTGCTACTCTTGAATGATCACAGTAAGCCAAATAAATCAAGCGTGGGACTCGAATCCAGAAGTGGCGACAGAGGGAGGAGCCAAGCCGGCGGGTTGTTATGCTAATTCCAATTTGTTATAAATTTTAGAGCAACTTGCCCTAAATTATGATTCATTTCAGCACCAGGACTCCAGTTTCAAGCAAGCCTTCTGATGCTGGTGTAAGCACCTAACTGATGTCTACTAAAAGAGCATGCTGTAATGTTTCTTTTATAAGGGCTACAAATCAAAACATCCAAAGCAGTTCATTTTTAATGTACTACTATTATCCATCTTTAGTTATAACTTTAATGTCTCCTCAGGCCTCAGAGACTGTAATGCAACTCAAAACATGCAATGGCTGTGCAGAAATAGGTTCCCTTAGTATCTCATTATTTAAATCCTTAAAGATATAGTTTTAAAAGCCTGACGGTATCTGAGCAAACTTGTTTAAAGGAGTTGTAAAGAAAGATAAGTAGTTTTCCTCAGAGGCCTATAAAATTTATTACTACATATTAAAGTAGGATTATATTTCCACAAATTTTCTGAAGACAGTTGTTTTCTGGGATGCACAGTTTGGAGAACTTCACAGAAAAATAAAGGGGACAGGAACTTACTACTGTTCTCTAAATTTGCCTTAAGCAAAACAAGATTTTCTGTGGGTCTTAGAGCCAGTTCTATCTCAAGGGGGACAAAACAACTCCCACCTCAGAGAACATCTTGGTAGATACACTGAATCTCGTAAATGAACAATTAAAAAAAAAAAAGACTTTAGCCTTCAGGAAGAGACACAAGTGCAGCCTAGCACCTCAACATTTTCTTAGGGTAGTAATGTGTCAAAGAAAAGCCCCAGGCAAGAATTCCACTTCTCAAAATACCCCCAAGCCCATCCAAGTACCTATCTTCTTATATATTTGGGGGTAAGTGGTCCATGTTTGCCTTTCAATGTTAAAAAGTAACCTCTTCAGAGGATGGTGTGATAAGAATAGGAGGTAGGAATTGGCTAGGCAGTTAGGGTAAAAGACCCCAAAGAAAAGGAGCCAGTTCCTTGGTTAAAAGTCAAAATGGGCCTCTTAGCAACACACTGTGTTCCAAAGGCCAAAAATGTCAAAAGTATTTGGGAGCTCTTATCTAATCCCTAAAAGATTTTAGGGTCACTTCTTCGGAGGGGGGAAATGTTAGAGTAGCAAAAAGCCCCATTTAAAAAAAAAAAAAAGTACATGAAGTTGTCAGAAAATAGTGATGGGGAGATATGGGAGGTGTTGGAGGGGAGGAGTGGGCGTGGATCAAAACACCTTATGTGCATGTATGAAATTCTCAACCACGTTCTTTTTAAATCTCTTCTTCTCATTTAACATTGCCCTGCGTCAATGTGCACTTTTACCAGCTTTCCTATGCGAGTCAACACATTGCTTCCCTCCCTGTTTGTCCCTAAACAGGCAATTACACTTCTGATTCTTCCCTTTGGGGGCATCTCTGGAGTCCTCACTTCCTCTAGACCAACTCTGTATCTAGAAGGTTCCTGCCAGTGCTGCCTTCCCCATTACTCAGGAGGGAGAGAGTTGAGAACTCTGCATATCAAGTTTCTCCAGCAGTACATGAGTCCAGAGGTGCCCTCTTTACCAGGCCTACAGATGTTTTACCTGGAAAACCAACTCCTGTGTACTCCTTGCCACAGTACCACCTGATCCACTCGTAGGATGTCCAGCAGGTTCAATAAAGACGTGAAACACAAAAGTGAAGCTGACACCCAGGGACAAAATACACCAGTTTTGGTTAAATTTGGCAGACTGCACTATGGTGCTCCAGGAAGGCAAGATTTGAGGAAAGGCACACATTTTCGGTTCTCCTACAGACTTGCCTCAAATTTGTTGATTCCTCAGCAGTATAATAGTTCACATTTGCCCCAGAACAAAGAACTGTATATGGAATACTTTCCAACCAGAAAACATTACGCACAAAGTCTACCACATTCCTTGTTCTGAACAAAATGTCATGTACATTGTCATCAAGTTCAATCACATATCCATGTCACCATATGAATATTTGGCTCTAGGGAGTTTCGATTTAGTGGTAAACATCCACAGTGTCTGAGAGAGGAGAGATTCCCAGCAGCAAAAGTTACTGGAGCTCCATGTTCTATGTGTGGTAATTACATGTACCTCTACTCAGTTATAAGGCAGGAAAATTAAAACACAGAGAGAGAGAGAGAGAGAGAGAGAGAGAGAGAGAGAGCAAGGGTGAGCTATTCAGTGCTAAGATCAGTTGTTAAAAAGCAAAACCCTCTATAATATGCAGTACATGTAACTATTAATGAAAGGCTCCTTAGAAGTGAAAGTTTTGATCAAAACCACTGATAAAGTACCGACACTGCTTACAGCAATGCATCTAGTCTAATTCATCAGAAGAGTTAAGTTACCCATTCACCATTACTATGCTTGATGCCTTGTGATTTCTTCAGAGCTGCCAGAGAAGAGACAGCATAATCCATTAAACAGGCCTCTTAGAGATGACAGCTTCAGCGCCATGGAGACACATACTTTTATTCTCCTTATTCCTTGCCAAACATTTGGCACCACCAGAAGGATGTGAATGTCACGCCACACTGGGGTATCAGACAATTTCTGAGTCCACAATCATGCCTTTAAAAGTGTCTATGAATCCTACTAAGGACACAGCTTACATCTTAAACAGCATAGCAACATTTGAGTCGTGCTGAACCCAGTCCCAACAAGGCAGAACAACAATGCGGTGGGGGTGGGGAGGGGAGGTGGGATGGAGCAGGGTTTCTGGGGGATGGTCAGAGCACACGGACATTCTGCATTCACAAAGCACAGTAGCAAACACAGGGCACAACCATAAACATCAGCGAGCACAGTGGAGCACGCACACAATACAACACTAGAATGCAGTAATTTTTTTTAGAAAAATGATATAAAAGATGGTTTCTCACCCCTCAAAACAAAACTGGAACTTTGGTTTACAGGCCCGGCTATGCCCATATGCCCTCCTCGTCATCCTGCGGCCGGCCCGAGGTGGGGAGGTGCACGGAGGAAAGGAGCACCAGCATGAAAGAAGAAAGGTTAGTCACACCACATGCACGGAAAGACACACGAGTCTTCACTTTGCTTTTTTCATCTTAAAGAACAAGGGCAAAAAATCCACAGTAACTTAAGTTCCACATCACTGGTTTGTCAAATGCATAACCAAGTTTTGTATCTATGACAACCCCACACAAAAAAACATTCCACCCACTCAAGCTTTAACTCTGTCAAGATTGGATTAGGAGATTAAAATTAGTCTACATTAGCAGATGATTATTTTTTGGAAAGCATGCAATCTGAATTGCATATGCCTAAGGAGTGGATTAAACCTTTAAAGTAAACAGAGAGGTAATTATAGTAATTAAATACCTTTAATTTCTCTTAAGCTTAAAGTATCAATAAAAGCTGAAGAAGAATTTTGGTTAAAAGCTACCTATTTCTACTTGGGCGGAATAAACTATTTAGCATGCATAACTCATAATGGTTATTTTACGAAGGCTCAGACATGTTGCAGTATTGTTTATTGGGTTCTTTTTGGCTCTCGGCATAGAGGAGGGTGGACGCGTGAGGAATGATTGGTTTTTATATTTGCAATCAAGTGAGCTTAAAAGAGGGTAAACTGCAATTGGGTAGAGATCTTGCAGAAAGGATGTTATGTTATTTCATTTAACATTGTGCTCAGCTGTAGATAATTGGAAACTAACTTGGTGTGAATTATTGTTGAAAATGTTTCCAAAATGGCTCTGGCCACTTTCTTCTTTTACAGAAGTGGCCAATAGGCAGGAAGATGGATTCCTTAAAGATGGCAATATGTTCCCTATGTCAAAGTATTTGCGGTGAACAATTCTCCGTGTGCACAGGAAGGAGCTAAACAAAGCATAGAGGAAAGAATGAACCACATTCGGCTCTCACACGTAATTTGAGAACAGAGTCATTTTAACAAGTCCTCAGTGAAAACATTTTGTCATGATTTGTTTCTTTATTTTGAAAAACGGGAATAGGGGAAAAATGGCTGGAACATTTGTTCATGTTTGGATTCGTACTATTTAGGTTGTTAGACTATTGGGGTGAATAATATTAAAATGCCACTATCTGACCACTTTTGACCTAGAAAAACAGAAACTTCATACATTTCAATAAGCAGTTTCATATAGCTCAGTAAGCCAAGGCAAGTTTATTGACTCAAAGATTTAGATGTATGTAGTCTTTGAGCTGATTCCCAATGCATTTCTTCCCTCTGTATCTCTTATGTACTTTACACATTTAGAAACATTTTTCCAAGAAGAGATGCGTAGAGTTCACCAGACTTCCAAAAGAACCGGTGGCCCACAGAACTTCAGAGCTCTCTTGGGATTTAAGGCAATCAAGGGATTTACACAGAGTCTGAATTGGACAAGCCAGTATGAATTGTCACTTGATAGTTTAGGTAGGAATATCCTGGCAGAAAGAAAGCATATTGATCAATTTGGCTGGGTTGCTGTGTATAAAAACTGCCTATGTTTATTTACTACTAAATAACCTCGTAACTGCTCTGGCAACATCCCTTTTCCCTACACGGTTGGAAGAAAATGTATTGCTGCACTTATTGAACTTCCACTGTATGTCTAGAGAAAAGCAAAATTGATGTTCCTTTTTATGTTAATAAAAAAGGAAAGTCTGCAGTATGATAACCCCCCGGAGGGGGCAATAAGTAGGCTTTGGGGGCATAGTAACATGTGAGATTCAATGCAGAATGCTAGTGGGCATGTGTATAAATGTTTTTCTCTGAACAGAGGCTCTTACTTTCATCAAAAGACTCTTGACCCCCAAAGTCACTGCTGTAGGAAAGCTCCAGGCAGGGAAAGACACCCCAATTTGCCAGTGACAGAACAAAATTGGAGGCTTTCCGTGAGATGCAGTCCACAGTCCCCACTGACTGCTTCCTAAATGCCTGTCAAGTACCTCTGCTTGCAGAGCAATTTATTTCAGTTTACATTTAAAACCCAACAGCACATTTACATGAAGTTTCTCCCAAGCCACTGATACAGGGTTTCAATTAAAAAAAAAAAAAAAAAAAAAAAAAAAAAATAAGAAAAAAACATATTGGTCAAATTATAGGTATTTGGGGGAGTATAACATGAAACAATGCATATGGCTTGAGAATTTTAAAAATAACGTATGGGATACAGTGGAGAAAAGATTGACA